ACTTTAAAAAAAACTTTTACTGATAATTTACTCACCCCCATGTCATCCAAGATGTCCGTGTCTTTCTTTCTTCAGTCGAAAAGAAATTAAAGTTTTTGATTAAAACATTCCAGGATTTTTCTCCATATAATGGACTTCAATGTGAACCAAACGGTTCAAGGTCCAAAAGACAGTTTCAGTGCAAACTGCAAACTGTTCAAAGGGCTTTAAACGATTCCAGACGATGAATAAGGGTCTTATCAAGCGAAACGATCACTCATTTAAAAAATATATAAATAACAAAGTTTAAGATTTATAAGCTCAAATGCTCGCCTTGCTCTGTTCTGTGATGAGCGTTCGTGACTCTCCTGTTCGAACTCATTTATCAAAATGAACAAATCTTTAATCGTGTCTTTTGGTTTATTCAACGAACGAAATGAATGAATTGACTCAGGAAAAGATTCGTTCATGTTGATGAACGAGTTCGAACAGGAGAGTCACGAACGCTAATCACGACCATTTGGGCTTATAAAACTTAAATGAGAGATCGTTTCGCTTGATAAGACCCTTATTCATCGTCTGGAATTGTTTAAAGCCCTTTGAACAGTTTGCACTGAAACTGTCTTTTGGACCTTGAACCGTTTGGTTCCCATTGAAGTGCATTATATGGAGAAAAATCCTGGAATGTTTTCATCAAAAACCTTAATTTCTTTTCGACTGAAGAAAGAATGACATGGACATCTTGGATGACATGGGGGTGAGTAAATTATCAGCAAAAGTTTTTTTTAAAAGTGAACTTTAATATAGAATTTATTTTGAGGCGAAAGAGTTACGTACCGTATCTACGATTGTAATAGCCGGAGCGCTGAAAAACTCGCCAACGATGATGACGAGCAGAATCAACAGGAAAATGTCATGAACCTGGTCCATGTTATATTCAGGAGGCGGCAGATTTGGTTTCAATGTGGTACTTTGAGTAGTGCTACTGGACGTTGTGGTTGTGTTTGTGCTGTTGGGGGTTGACGTTGAGAAGGATGTACTTGGCTCAGGCCGCGTGGTCGTGGTTTGGTCAGATTCTGTCGTGTTAGCCGGCTCATCTGGTGCCACAGTGAAACTCGTGTTGGAATCCCGTTTGAACCGGTGTTCAGAGCTGTAGCTTGAAGACTGAACAGACGAGAGGATCTTTCGCCAAGGATAGTGTCCGTACAGATCCCTGCGCTGTCTCATCTGATTTGTTGTTAGGATAGAACTGGTGTTGAGGTACAATGTCTCGTTAGAAGTGGTAGGATGGATGGTCGTTACCATTGTTGTGGTCATAGGGAGGTTCTCTTTACACTTCATGTCTGGAGGCTGCACAAAGCCAATCCCAGAATTGAAGAAGAGCCAACATAACACCGAGAACAATAAGACCGCTTTACCTTTCCTGTAGCGATCTGCAACAATGCCCCAAAAAGGGGCACTACAGAACTCAATGAAATATCGGATTCCCACTAGGAGACCACTTTGGGTGGGATTCATCCCCAGCTGCTTGTAGAACAGAGCAAGAAGTGGATGGAGGGAGCCATATGCAGCGTAGAAGAATAAATAAAACACTTTTGACACAAGGAGGCGGCGGTTGACCCGTAGGCACAATCTTTCGCAGCAGCCAATGTTGTGTTCAGGCGATGGAGTTGGTGCTGTATCATTAGGTACATTGTTCTCAGATGGTTGGGATGGTTGATCTGATTGAATCTCGAGCGACAGACGGTCAAAGCGCTCAAGGTGTCTCCCTTTCAGCTCTTCTTCATCATCAGTTAAGATGGCTATGCGGTCGTCTGCCATCTTTGCTGGGGTGCGGGTGCTTTGATGTTCCTTGGGATAAAGATCATATTAACATTTAAATGTGTAAAATGCATTAAAGATATATATAACTCCCCTTCCCTTTTGCGGCGATATTTGTTGTTTGAGAAGCCATTTCACTCGGTTATACGTGACAATATAGAAGAAAGGGTCTAGCGCAATTTCCATTTCATACCAACTTTAAAACACTGAGAATAATGATGAAAAAATAAAATAAATTACAGATCTTTCTTAAGACAGAGCTTTGACGGTTTTAGAAAAAGCTAACCCATCAGAACACTAATTATGGCATAAAGACTTATAGATTAACATTGTTTTGCAAGGCTAAGTTGAGTATTTACTAACAATGTGCTGCAGTAAAAGTAGACTATTGAAAGTATGCAAAATAATAATGTGACAACAATGTATCATACTACCATATTATGAAAGTATGGGTGCATACTGGGCAGTGTTCACATTATATCATAAGAGTAAGCAGCAGCATAGAGTGTATACTGTGACGTATCCACTAAGTGGTAAATAAAAGCATTATATTCAAAGGTATAATATGAAGTTATTTTGTATTGTGCAAGATACCGAAACATACAATGACAGAACAGAACAATGTGGGTTACATTACATTAACACAAAGCATATTATGTTAGATTATGTATTAGGCTACACCATAAAAGAGTCCACGAAGCAATTGAATTTTAAAATATAACGCAGGCATATGAACATTGATCGTGATGTATATGGGTCAATGACGTATAAGGCCTTTGAGAGGCCCATTTTTAAAATACTTGAAATAATAATATATTTGTCTATTTTCTAAACATGTGGAGTGTAGTCTACACATGCATGTGTGTGAAAACTTCATACAAAGATATTTTAGTGCTTTTAAACTCAAATGAATAGGGCAATGACCTTAAAAAGGTCATTTGGGGCGACCGTAATTTATCTTATAATTATTAGATTTCCTTTGCATAAGTTATATTTTAAGAAGTATCAGTAATTAATTGAACTGTTTAAAAAAGATATACTCATGTGTCCTTTCATTTATTGCAAATTATGTTAAATACATTTTTATCTATAATGGCAGTGTCACCCTCATAAAGCAATTACATATTTTTTACTCATATAATCCATAAAACTGATTTAAAATGTGTAGATATAGTATCCACTTATTGATGTTATACCAATGAATTATATTTCAACCAAAATGGACAGACATTATTTTTTGAATTTACTGCAGAATTGAATATAGTTGGTTACCCCACATGACAAATGGTCGCCCCACATGATGAAAAACAGCAGGCAATTAAGACTATTCAATGATTTTGATAGTTAAAACACATTTAATGGAATTTTATGAAGAATCAGCATATTTAATGAAATTTTATGAAGAATCAGCATATCCATTTCATTTGACACATTTCATAACATTAACAGTTTCCTCACTATTTCATTTGACACAAAAGCATCATATTAAAATTTTCAATACTAATGCATTAAACGCTTGGACATAACATTGAACAGCATTTTCCTTTTTTATTTTCATTTCATTAATCACTTAAACATACAATGTTTGCATTTTCATTACTATTTTCATTTAACAGTTGAACATAGCAGCATTCTGCAGACACATTCTTTTCTTTGCTTGTTAGTGGGGCCATCTAGAAAAAAAAAGTATATTTAAACATACACAGAGTTAGAAAAAGAATTGGAAAAAGTAGAATGAATGCTTAATATCACACATTTCTTTGATAAAAAAACATAATAATCAAAAAGAAGTAAGCTTAGTCCTCTGAAGGGAAATTATTGAAATTTAGAAAAAATATGTGGTGAAATGTAAAAAGTTATTTAAAACAACTAAATGCATATAATGAATGTAAACATTTGCATACAGAAACTACAAATACATGATATGTGTTTTCTATTATTTAAGCAATCAGTGGCGGTCGCCCCACATGATGCTCGGTCGCCCCAGATGATATTTTCAAGTTTAATCAAGTATAACAGGCTAATGCTTAGCTATAGAGCCCAAGTTAGCTTCTTCTCACCACATATCACTGACAAATTTACAATTTACAAATTTAAAAATAAAGATTTGCGTATAAAACTTATTATTTACAGTTTTAGGTTGGTCGCCCCACATGATATCAAAATGTGACGTATACACTGCAGCAGTTTTAAAGAGGATTTGTTTGTAAAAATGAGAGTGACAACTCACCTGCTAGTTGTCTCTGTGGGACCCTCACCATGAGGCTGGCTGATGCAACATCCTCTTTGAGATGATTATCAGAATATAAGTCCCTTATTTGTATTTTCTTGATGGTCGCCCCAGATGATATTTCAGATAATGAACATCTTCGGACAAGATTTGTTTGTTTATTATGATTGAAATGTGTGTACAAATGTTTCATAACTTTGTCAATCAATGGAAAACAAGTTTAAAATTATGCCAAATAGGGTAAGGATTATATTTAAATTATTTTAGTTTGATTTAAAACCAGTTATCCAAACAGAAGTCAAGGCCGGACGGTCACCCCACATGATGTTTTCACACTTCAGGTGGCAGAAAATGCCAATAAACCAATTGTTTTTAAAGAAATAAGAGTGGGCATATGTATAAGGGAGGTGGTAGACATACATGTTATAATTTTATTAATTTTAATGTTTATTAATTGGTAAAAAGTTCAGTCGGACAGAAAAAGCAAGCGTCACGTCATTGACCCATATATTGCTCAATGACGTAATGGAGGTTTCTGGCGCGCCTGTCTCAATGACCCACTTTTACGGAAGTATCAGCACTTCCTTTACTGAAATGTATTTTAATAAAGGATGAACCGTGTTCGTTAAAGCCTTTAAGCTATTTCAGGAAACTTCTTTGTACTGTTTCTAATGAGAACCAAAGCGACTAAAACGGGTCACAAAAACGTACGTCTTATATCCAATAATATTAAATGCAGGAAACGGCGAAGAAAAGTCCATCAAGTTCAAAATTTGTGTATATAATTACATTATTAAAGTTCAATAACCGAACGCATATCATGAGAAAACAGTCACTGTGCATTTACCTGTAGTCTCGATACTTCAGGTGAGTTGGCTACTTTGAAACCGACGAGTTTCGATGATGAAGTTGATTTTCTTCCATTTCCAAAGATTATTTTGTTTAATGGACCGTGTTTTTGTATTTTGGCTTCTCTGCCAGTCCAAACAGGCAATTTATCCCTTATTTAATGTCCTATCAAGGCATTTTAGCAGCTTGGTGGCAAGAATCCAGCGTTCACCTGACCACAAACCGACGGACTTGGGGCTTTCCTCATGAATATTAATTAGGTGCTGACGTTGCTGGCTCCGATTCTTCAAACGTACGGACGTTGCTAGATGGCCATATTAAGAAGGTCAAAAAATAAAAATAAATTTTTTTAAAAAAAATAAATCGGCAGCGAGACAGATATACTTTAAACAAGCTACATAGTATTTTATAGTGTCGTCCACATAGTATTAGATCCTGGGAGGGTAGATTAGGTTTTCAACAACAATATTTATCGTTATCAATGATACTTCACATTTCACATCATACAGAAATATTATCTAATATTTGTACTTAGTTTCCAAATTCAGTGAGTTTTCTGATAGGCTACTCACTGTGTAACGTTGATGAATGCAGTCGCCTTGCGTTTAATTCAGTTCTTGTGAATTATATATCTCCGTTGTTAGAATAGATATACGGTAATTTAAGCATCTGTTTTTAGCTAAATTGGTCATGTTTTGCGGCAGATTCGCCGTGCTGTCTCGTGATGATGACGTCCCAGCTCGTATTCATTAAAAATGAATACAATGTAAACACAGATGAATTGGCTACTCTTTTATTTGTTCAACAATATTATTATTGTAACTGCATGATGAGACACTAGATAATATTATAAAAATACGTAATGATCACGATGCATTTCATTGCGCACTGTTATTGTTTTAGTGTTTCTCATTGTCAACCCGTTGACTTCCATATAGAAAAAAAATACTATGAAACTCAATGGGCTCCATCAACTGTTTGGTTACCAAAATTCCTCAAATTACCTTATTTTGTGTTTACCAGAAGTAAGAAATTCATACAGGTTTGAAATAACTCGATGACAGAATTTAAATTTTTAAGTGATCTATCCTAGTACCACACTAAAATGCATTTTTACGATGTTTTAACCGACAACTTGCACTCAGATATCTTAAAATGTCATTGCCATTGTTTTGTCTCAAGATGCACACCAGTAATGTTTTTCTTTTTCTTCTCAAATTCACGTTTATAAAAGCTACTTAGGCTAAATGTCCTAATTGAACTTATTCTAGCCCTGTATGTGAAACCACGCCAAAAAATAGCTATTTAGCGCCATCTTGTGTATTATGTTCAGTTCAACATGTATGAATACTGAAAATAAAACATTGTTTTGGAACTATTTCTCTTCGCGGAAGCTTTATGTTCATTTCAAACGAGTACTAACATATATGATATGACTTTTCACAAGTTCACATGACATTTTATTAAATCTTTTTTATAAATTAATAAGGCATTTGGGTATGAGTATAAAGCAAAGAGATATTAATGTTCACTATCGTCATTAGTTCAATTGTGCACAGGACAACTCGCTGGCTTCCGTCCAATGCTTTTCTTCGTTCCTTTTCCCCCTTTTCTTCTCCGCCATGATGATGGCAGCCACAACGGTGATGATCACAGTGATCGTAATGACCAGGACAGTGACCATCTCGCCGATGCAGGGATCCAATTCATCCAAATTTGGGCAGATGTCGTTGTAGTCGTCCAGGAACAGTCGCTTGACGTTACAGAGCTTCCGTAAGACTCGCTGCAGATCGCAGTCACGCTTCAATGGGTTATTTTCAAGCATTATGTGCGTGCTGTACGTATTGAGACTCAAGAAGGTCTTGAATTGAATAGTGGAAAGGCTGTTGTTGGTGAGGTCCAGTAGAGCAAGGCTGGTCAATGGAGAAAGCACTCCGACGTCCAAGCTTTCAATCCGGTTGTGATGTAAATTTAGGATTTCAAGATTCCGTAGCATGGAGAAGATGCCATTTTTGAGAACCGTTATGTTGTTCCAAGCGAGGTGTATCTGGCGTAGGGTACTCATGGACCCAAACGCCCTCATCTTGACCGTTTCGATTGCGTTATTGCTGAGGTTGAGTCTTTGCAATGAGTCCAAGTGGACGAAACAACTGCTGTTCAAGCTGGTCAACCTGTTCTCAGCCAATGACAGATCTCGAAGGGAACTGAGACCTTGTGAAAATCCTTCACTCAGAGATGAGATTCGGTTTCGGCTCAGGTCCAACCTCAACAGATCTTCCAGCAGATAAAACGCTCCATTGGCTAGCACGTAAATGGCGTTGTCGTTGAGGAACAGGACGCGAAGTCTTCGTGTGGTTTGGAAGGCTCTGGGCTGGATGGCACTCAGGTTGTTGTGGGACAGGTCCAGTTGCTCAGTTAATGGTGGAAGGGCGATAGGCAGGTGGGAGAAATTGCCATTGGAGCAGTTAGCGCTTTTAAACTCCATGTGGCAGCTGCAGTCACAGGTGATGGTGTGGTTCATGGAGATGGACTGGACCTCCAACACCAAGGGAAGAATGAATAACAGATGCATCCTGGAGGTTCTGTGGAAAAAACAAATTGAGTTTGTGTAAAGCAGTGGTTAAATATCTGGGATATTATATGCATAGGTTACTCATATTAATTAAGATATAATTATATGTTATAAAATATGTTTACTTTATTAAAAAAAAGAAAAAAAAAATATATATATACATAAACACTGACTCTGAGCACTGTTGAGACTTGTTTGAGTATATGAATAGGGTTTGTATTTTATTATTTATCATTACAATAATTAATTTCAATATAATCAAATATAACATATAGTTTTGCATTATATATATATATATATATATATATACACACACAGTATATAGTTTTTTAAATAAATTATAATATATGCTTTAAACAAAAATAATAATCCATATTATTAAATATTAAATCAAAAAATGTTAATTAACAAATTATATATATATATATTTTAACATTTTTAAATTGAATAGTATATATATTAAATAACTAATAATAATCTAAATATTAAATACATAATTAATAGTTATTATTATTTAATATTTTATTTACTTATTATTTTAAACACTTTTAAAAACTCATGTTTGGGACTTTTTTGAGTACATGCCAAATGTTATGTTTACTATTTTATTAAAATCATTTATTAATTTCTTAAATAAATTAAATAGAACACATTTTCTGCATAGTAATTATATATATATATATATATATATATATATGTTTATATACATATATGTATGTATATATATATAAACAATGTAAATTGTCAAATTAATAAAAAATATTCAATTTATATATATTGAAAATTGTTATTATATATAAACATTGTTTTTAATAATACATTTATAAAAATATAAAAATATGTCCTGTGTATATAGAGAAAATAATAATAATAATCACATCTAATATATCTAATCTATATTTTTATTTTCTATATAACTTCTTTTTATTTCCATATTTATTTATCAAATTACATACATTTGTCCAAATTTAACTATCAGTTAAGTATTGTTTAGGTCATTGTTACAATGATGACTTGTGAAATCATTTATCAAATTCAATGCACCAGAATCGTTCTTTATTATAATGTGTCTAATGTGTTTAGTGTTTTCCAATAATCTGAATATGAAATTGTTATTTTGATGCACTGGAATATAGTGTTTTCCAATATCAACTGTATAAATACACAGGACAATTACATGTTGCGCTACACTAGGTGTTTCCATACAGGTGAGCAAACAAACGTTCAAAGCCCGTTACACAATTACTGGTCAAGGACGGTTTAGTACCGAGCATTAAACTTGTTTATATGTGTACACAATGTTTTATTTCATCAAAATGATATTTTAGGCTAAAAAATAATCACAGTTTTCTTTTCCCCCTTTCAACATGTACTAACCAGTCCTTTAAATGGTCAAATATAATATCTAATTCATAATTAAAAAAGAACATTGCAATTTATTAAATATAAATGCATAATAAACAATATTTCTACACACTGGTAAAGTTGAGTTGTGATACCTGTCGTATCTCGCATCCTCTGTCAGGACGCAGATCTTATCGTGAAACCCCTGCCTGCGCTCTGTTCCAGCTCTGAAAACTTAAGGTCAACTTACATAGTCGAAAGTAAGTATAAGTTGCCTCTTACCTGAGTTTAGTGTCAGTCATCAGAGGAGCAGCTGCAGGTGTGTGTCTGTGCACACGAGACTGTGTGTGTTTGGAGCCGGGAGAGAAAAGCTATTGTACAGGAGCAGCTGTTGGCAGAGAAGAGAAAAGAGAAAGTGATTAATATTTCACACCGGCAGCGGAGGGTGCAGACACATACGAGGGCAATTATGAATTTTGCATTTTTAAAACTGGTCATACGTATAAAATGAGCCAAACAAAGGCAGGTTTTATTTTACCATGGAAAGAAAGATGCATTAAAAATGAAAAAGCATACCTTTATGCTTAACATAATCAGTTATTCATATTTTGTTGGTTCTCTCTTGCTTTTGCATGTGTTCATAATCTCTTTGTATGACAGCCTGGCCAAAAATGATGTCTGCATGTTTCATTTGCATTATCATGAATAAAACAACTGACTCCAAGAGCAACTGCATAATCTGCTTGCAAAATTACATTTTTAATCTTATTTGAATAAAGGGTGAAAATGTCAATTTTTTTTCAGTAGCACTTTCCAATCCTCCTTGTATTTGATGAATTGATATAATTTGAACAGAAAGGTAAGAGTATTCTTTTGAACGTTTATTTTAACGATTGTTTATCCCATTTGAATTTAAATGAATGAATTTAAACAGTAATGCCATGATTAGATAGATAGATAGATAGATAGATAGATAAATGCATAGATATATAGAGATAGATACATAGATGGGTGGACAAATGATAGATAGATAGATAGATGGATAGATAGATAGATAGATAGACCAGGGGCGCAACTACCCAGTTTCAGAGGGGTATGCAGCAACAATTTTAGCACCCCCCCCAACCCCCCAAAAAAAATACATGTAATGTAAGTGTGCTGTGTAATAACTGAGTAGGAAGAAATGAGAGCTAACAGAAAAAAATAAGTGCAAAATTGTCGTTTATTAACACAATTAAACTAGCTACTCCACCTTGATGAACCCCCCCCCCCTAAGAAAACTCAGCTCCATTGTAACAGCAATAGCAGTGTTTCTCACAGGATTTTAGGTAAAACTGTGGTAGGTGGACCTCTGTTTCTCTAGGGGGGTTCGGGGGCATGCTCCCCCGTAAGAAAATTTTGTGTTCTGTAATGTTAAATTCAGCAGTCTGGTGCACTTTGAGAGTTCAAAATTAAAAGCTCCAACCCATTTTCAGGGTGCAAATTAAACAGAGAAAAATTTGAACCTCTTTTAGTTAGTGTCTGTCTAAATTACACTACTACATAATAATAGTTATAATATTAATCCCATGATAGTAATTGCCATTAAGGCTATTGTAAAACAAATGCACAGAAAAATAAAGGAAACTTTCATAATTGGTTTTGCACTAATTTCTATACTTGAAAGATACTTGCGCATAATGACATATTTCATGGGCCAGTGTGTCAGAAAAAAAAACTAAAGCTGACTTTTTTGACCAATGCATTACACCAGCACAGCGCCGCCAATTAAGCAAAAAACAAAACAAAAACAAACAACAAACAAACAAATGGGCCGCCGATGTATGAGTTTTGTGGGCCGTTAAGACAAATAAATTAAAAAAGGAAAAGCACGTCGGCCCAGCGGGAATCTCCCGGTAGTCCCGATGGCCACCGAGATATAGATAGCCTATGCCTGGATGTCACATTTTAAATCCTACCTGTTGGCTTTCAGCAATGCATGCAGTTATTTAGCTGCTGTTGCATCAATTGACATGCCATCTCCTTTTCTCTCTTTCTTTTTCTATTTTTAGCCCCACAGCATTTTGTTTTATCCATCTTTTTCGACGACAACTAACTACTCGTACCTGCTCGCTCAGCGCTCACGGCGCCCCCGCCCGCTCGCGATATTACCCGCCCCCCTTCTCCATGAGGGCACCTACTCTAGCCTGGCTGTTAGTCCTCTAAAATTTTATATAACATTGAAGGAATGCAGAAATGATT